GTTCCTTTAGATATTCCTGCCAATACGACCAAGATGCGAAAACAAGGTCAAAAGACCACGACCATCATCTTGGTCATTATATCTTCGACTAAGCTGGAAGACTTAACATTTTCTGGACTTAAGAATGTATGTCCAATTTCAGTAAAATACGGCTCATGTATGAAAAATATTCAAATCACTTGTTGTCGTAGCTAAACTAAAGATTGGGCAACTGTATTGGTACATAGGTTTACTAGACAAGAGCATTCCAGTGAAATAAAATGCAAAAGAAAATATGATATCACCATTCTTTTTGCGCAATGATGAAGATCTATTCGATGGCCTCATGCTTTGTCTCATTTGTCGCAAATCTACTTGGCAATCGAGGTGTGAATCGTTTTCCTGCTCACTGAATTCATCCGCTTCCCTACAGTCTCTATCTGGCTCTGAAAAGTCATCTTCTGCGATGTCATGGTCCTGATCATCTACATAGCCTTCTTCTTCAACCTCAACCTCATCTTCCTCTGTTGCCAACTGCATGGCATTCGAGAGACTAGCCGAGGCCAATGAACTCATTGTAAGGCTGGCACTGCCAAGACTGGTGGAGGTGCCTGCAAGTAGGCCAGGCTCAAGTCCCTTCTCTGTATCTGCCATCTCAACTGTACAGTTGGAATCCAGGATTCCCCCGGATTCTATTACACATTGTCCATTAATCCGCCCTCCGGTCGGCCGGTTAACGGAGGCTTTGGAAGGATGTAACTGTGTCCAGGCTTGGATGTTTCCCGGATGGTTAGGTGGATGATGAGGCGCAAACAAGTCTATCCGAGGGTCAGGATACACATGTTCATTAGGAGCCGTGGAAATGGCTAATCCAGAACTGGAGGCCGATTCGCCAAGAGCGGAGGGAAAACCTGAAAGGGGAGCAATGAGGCTGGGGGGCACGACAGGAGGTTTTCGCTCAACGACCTGGATATGAAAGACAATAAAAGCAAGAAGAGAAGTAACAAAAAGTTAAGATGATGTCTAAGACATTTATGGCTAACTTAGATGATTGTTGGGGGGACTTTCATTTCGTATGAAAGTGCATGAAGAAGAGATTCGTAGGTCGATCTCACCAGAA